CTTGCACCTTGGACCCAGCTGGCTGTGGCTGACCTCCTGGCCAAATGGGGCCAGGAGGACATGCTTTGACAGTTCAGAGCAGGCCACCACACCCGGAACATTTTCCGGGCAATAGCTGCCCAAATGGCCAGGCAGGGGCACGCATGGCAGTAGTGCCGCACAAAGGCCCACCCTGGAACCGCAGTCCACTGGCAGCCAGCCCTCTACTGGCTACGCAGTTCCCGTCCATGTCTGGCAGGTGCACAGCAGGTCACAGCCAGGCAGCAGTCCCAACTGCCAGACTGCTGCAGTGGGTAGAGGGTGCAGGGAACTCTCAGGGCTGCTTCAGCAGTCCAGCTGGCACAAGGGGTAGTGTCCCCAGGTACCAATTGGCTGGGCCCCAGAAGCTTCTTGAGAGCTAGTAGCCTTGAGCTACTTGCCAGGGCAGCTTTTTATATTGCTGGGGCCAGGACAGGGCAGCTTTTTATACTGCTGTGGACAGCACAGGTGCTATCCCTGGGCTTTAGCTCCCTCGGCTGGAGATCTGGGAGGAGCCAGGCAGGGTTATGTTGCCCCAAGTGGCACATTTTGTTCCACACCAAAGTGCATGTTTGAGCACGTGTGCTGAATCAAAAAGCCCCAGCTCCAATTTGCACTCCTTCTATTTGAGCTGCTGCAAGCGCACATACCTGCATGTGTGGACATGCACCTTGAGTGCATACCAGTCCCTGGCTTCTTTGCAATTTGTTCCATCGAGGAGGTTACATACCAACTGGAGACACTTCCTCAGCCTGACGAAGGGTATTTAAACACGAAAGCTTGCTAAGAAGAATTTTTCTAACTATTTAAGTTGGTCTAATAATAAAGGATGTAGCAGTGTTTGTTCAATTGACCCTGCACTTGATTTTTTTTTAAAAGGTATTTTGCAGTTTCGTTTATTTAATACTCTATGCCAGTGGTTGGCAACCTTATGCCACTGCAGACTCGAGCTTGCAACCCATCCCCTCATCCCCACGTGCTGCAAATTTCTACCTTCTGAAGTACCCAAGCCATATGTGCTTACTGTCTCACCTCTAATCCTTGGCTCCTCTGCAGCCAGCGTAAGGACAGGCACATGAGAGCAGCAGGAAGGGTGGCAGAGGTGGGTGGTATGAAGGGAATAGGTGGCAACTGCATGGCCCCCTGGCTGGTTTCAACTTTTGCAGGTTGGAGCCAACCTTTTTGCAAGCCAGATCTGGCCTGCAGTTTGTAGGTTGCTGACACTTGTTCTGTGCAGCAGTTGTTTTAAGCTATGCCCTTAATCAAAGGCGTACCTTGCATCCAATTATGTTGTTAATGACAGTATTCACAACCACAAAATCGTGAATTTTTGAGGAGTTCCGTATCCACATGCATGAGAAAGCATGTCAGTTTTGATCTCTTGACATCATCATTATTATTATTATATTGTTGCCCTTCTTACAGGTGTAATGAAACAAAAATACATTGACGTACAAATGGGCTGCTCTTTTCAAATGGGCAGGACTCTTTTGTCCTGTCAGTGCAGAAGAGCAAACATTTTACCTTCTTGACCATAAGGAAGGACAGGAAATCGATATTGCCAATCTCCAGCAAGAGGATTTTACTAAAAGCTATACTTTTTTGTTAATTTTCCATTTTTTTTATTTCAGTAGTTTAATTCATTAATTAGACTACTTGGTCCATTAGATGTATACAGTGTAGTCTGTTGTCTCTAAGATGAACTGTTAGAATTAGTAAAATGTATTTACAGTAAAATTTGATTGACTATTTCAGTTTCTTTTACACTTCATTTTAGTTCATCAAGCAATTGATAGGCATCTTAAAAAAATTTTGAACAAAATAAACACCTTTGTTTTGAAAACGTATAATATGTTTTTCTTTCTTTTTTCTTTTTTAGCTAAACAAATCAAAACCAAAATACCCATTGAAGATTTGGGGGGTTTGTACTGATTGAGTGGGCACTCCCCTCTTCTTTCTCACTAGAAAAGGAAGAGAATGGGGTGAGGCAAGAGGGGCATTAAAGTACAATAAACTTCCATTTAAAAGAAAAACTATAGTTGAAACAAAATTAAAACATTTTTCAATGTATTTTTTTCAAAGAATTTTAACAAAAACAGAATGTTTTGTGATCAAAATCTTTTATTTGCCTCCATAATCTATTTCTGTTAAGGAAAGAAATGTCAGTGAAAAGATTTTGACTAGCTCTGCTCTTCTCCCCTTTTCCGTCCCCTTCCATTGTCCATATTAATATTTTGTGTGGGCCTGAAGTAAAATATGAAACCATAATATTCAAAAGTGAGTCAGGAAGAGAAATGGTGTGCTCCCAGAGATTGAGTATTGGCCAGGGATTCACAGAATTTGGGTTCTGATTCTGGGTCTCCCACTAGTTTGCCATGTGGCTTTAGGCAAGCCACTTTATTTTCATTTCCACTGCCATCCATTCATGGAGAAATGTTGTCTAATACATGTAGACTTTCAAAATGGTTTGAACAAGGTTCATCACAGGAGCCTTCAAAAGAACCAAGCAGTCAGGGGAAAGAGGTTAAGTAGTATAATGGATTAAAACTTGACTACAAGACAGGAGGTAAAGTAAGAATAAACGTGAATTTTCATGAAATTGAGAAAATTAAGAAATAGTTCCACACTGGGCCTGAAGTTTAATGTTATTAGTGATCTGGAAAGGTATCTGAGAAGTGAGGAGGTAAAAGTTGCAGATGACCCAATATTACAAAGATTAATTAGGACTAGAGGAGATTTTAATGAACTTGGGAGAAGCCTAAGCAAGGTGAGCGAGCAAAATGCACAAAGGCAGACAAATTTCAGTATTGATGAGTCCTGTGCATTGGCAGGAAATATTTGAAATTCTTCTGCATGTTATGGGATCCTAACTTAACAGTGTAAACTCAGGAAAGACTGGAAGTCTATGTATGCATGCTTTTCATTGAAAATCTTGGCCCAGTGTGCTGCTCTAGTAAAAGCAAAGAAAATAAAAGGAAGCATAAAGAGTGACTAATACAGAAAGGAAAACCTTTTAACATCATTACATAAATAAGTGATAGATGCTACTTAGGAATATTGTGCATAGCTCTGGTCACTCCCTCTGCAAAAAGATCATGGGGAGTTAGAGGTTAGGTTCAGGGAAGGGTGAAGAGCATAGTTAAGGACTGGGGCAACTGTCACATGAAAATAAAATGTAGATTAGGATTGTTTACCTTAGAAAACAAATGAGTAAGAAGGAATATGATAAAACTGTTAAACAATGAATGACTGTTAAAAGATAGATCAAGAGTGTCTGTCACTAAATTGAGACAACCTAAACTGTAGGTTGCTTTAGAAAATCTGGATGTTCTCCCTGTTGAGAAACATTTTTTCTCCAAAGAACTCTAATAGTTATGATGCTATATGTACGAAACCAAAATCAGGTATTTCTAACCTCTGCAATGTTTTATATAAAAATTGCTGTAAAAGAGTTAAACTAAAGAAATACACATCAATGCCCAAGCCTCATGTCTCAGGCTTTAGTGTACCTTTGTGGTTGATTAGAGACCCCTAAAAATAGGGGCATATAATGGAAATGCTGACAGATTCTAAACTTTCATGGTGGTAATATTCACTGCTATAATTAGGCATACATCTCAGTAGACAATGTAATATGATTGCCCTGTTTATACCAGGACCTGGAAGGCATGTATGTTAATCTGGACAATCCTTTTAAATGGGCTCAGGAAGTGAGTATGTGGAAAAAATAGATGCCAAATGTAATTCATATTAAGACTGGACTTATGTGTATATCAAAAAAATATATTGTTGAAGGATAGTTGATAACCCTGATTAACTGCACAGCTCACTGGCGTCCTGAGGCTATACAAAAGAACACAAGCACTTAATCTGAAAATATTAGGCATAAGGGCAGAGCAGCAGCAGGAATACCATAAAGCTCCCCAACCCCAAGCTCTCCTTATAAATGTTAGGTGATTGAAATTGTTCATATTTTAGCAGAGCTTTTCTTTCTTTTTGTCCTTCTGGTTGAGATAACTGCAGTGGGCATGGAACCCCACAGTACACTTTTCTCTGTATTTTTGCTAAACTGCTAATTTTCCCTTGTGTATTTCAGAGGTCAGAGTCCACCTGTTGCTGAATTCAATTTACTACTGAAAGCACATTCTTTGGAAACATACGGTGTTGATCCCCATCCTTGCAAGGTAACAGTTAAGAATTTTTAATAAATTGTTACCACTCCACAGGTGAATAATGACTTTCATTATAACAGCTGTCAGATACATTGACAGTACCCATGTGCATTGTGCCATTTCTAAAAGAGCCTCCCCAGAAAGTGTGAAAGAGATGTTGCCAGCTTATAAAATGCTGATTGGTTGGCATGTATGTATACTGCCTTCCACAGTCAGCATGACACTGAAGCTGGGGATGTTAGTATAAGATTTTTCTAAGGACTTGGTGTTATAACTACCATAATTCTGTCCCATTCCTGGGAGCAATTTATAAAATATATTATATACTACATAGCATATAATAATCCTCATAAAATAGATGATATAGCCCTCTTAAAAAAACAGTAACTTATTTGAATTTCACAAGGAAAACTTTGGATTTTAGTTTTTTGTACAAAAAGTCAGATTAGTGTGCTGTTAGATTTCCTGTGACTATTTCCAAATCCCCATATTGCTGAATATAACCTGCTTTGTTATGTTGTAAAACAAAGGATTTGGAAATAGTGACAGGAAAACTAGATAGTATGAAACTGATCTGAACCTTTGCTCAAAAAACTGGAACCCAAAGTTTTTTATGTGAAATTCAAAGAAGTTTGGCTTAATGACCTAAAGAAAAATACTAGATATCTTTTTACTTCCTGGTTTCTGCCAGTATTGGAAATTTTTAATTACTTCAGTATAGGAAGTATTGTAGCAATGTTTGCAGCACAGATGATATGAAGAAGTTCTAGAAGTTGCATGAGAGACCTTGATCTTGTGGAATTTCTCGACCAAAGTATCAGGACTTGTAGTAGAGATGATATCTTTTATTAGACCAACAAGATTTTTGCAAAAAAAAGTCTTTAATTGCAAGCTTAAAGAATTTTTTTTGCAAAAAATCTTCTTGGTCTAATAAAAGATATCATCTTTTATGAGTCTGGATTGCCTTTTCCTCTAGACCAATATGGCTACAATCTGGATACCTAGACCAAAGTATGTCATTTGGAGCTGATTGTGAATCCTTTGCTTATGTTGGTCAGTAATTGATATTAGATGGATATTTCTAAAAATATGTATTCATCACTGTGAAGAGGCCTAAGTGTTAGTCACGTGCCAAGAAGAAAGAAAAATGCAGGTTGGTTTAACAGTAGCTGAGTGTTGCTCAGGATTGAGGTCTGAGGTTTAGAAAAGCCTAGTGGACAGAAAAATCATAGTTAAAAAAACAACCACCTACATCTAACGTATCAGTGACCCCGAATAAGAATTTATGCCATAAAAAAGAATGTTTTCCAAATAAGGAAAAGAATTAAGACATCAACTGTACACATATTTGTTATTCTCTTTTTATTTCAAGGATTCAACGGGGACAACTACATTTTTAGGATTCACAGCCACAGGCTTTGTAGTTTTCCAGGGAAATAAAAGAATTCATTTGTTAAAATGGTGAGTGCATTAACTGAAAGTGGATTACTCTACAAGAGTGTGTTTCTCTTCCTCCACTTCTCCCTGTTTCCTCTAAGGGAGCTTCACGTGAAACGCTGACAATTCTTTGTCCTTCCATATTTTTTTTAAAGGATTCGAGATCACAAATAAAAGCGAATTTGGTGGTTTCTTTCTTCTTAGTTTTTGGATGTTAGTCTGTATGCCAAATCCACGTTAAAACTTGAAGTCAACTTAATTGACAGAAATGCTCAGAAATTGAGTAGCAGCAAAGTTACGGGTCAGTAATGAGGTAATAATTCCAGAGATGCCTAGGGGAGTTTGTACATCTCCTACCTCATTATGCTTTGCTCATGCATGCACTATCTCTTCCGCATTCAATTAGGAAAAGGAAATATGAGATTCTGTTCTTCTAACTGCTTGGAGTGTGGGAGGAGGTTAGGGATCCATATGTTCATAGATTATCTTTCCTTTGTAGATTTTTTTAACAACAGGGAGACTTGGTTCCTATGTTTTTTTTTTCTGGAGGTAACTCACTTCATTTTTCAGGATTTTCAGTTATAGGACATATCCAAAACAGTATGACAACATGAGGGGAAGGTGCATTGTATCTCTTGTGACAGCATTTCTCTCTGTAATGTCTGATGGAATAATTTAATCAGAGATTATGGTGCAGTCCACATATTTTTACTTTATATAGTTTTACCAAACAGCAATAAACAGCCACCTGCCTCAGTAGGCCCTTTCACTGCGAGTTTCAAAATAAAAACAATGTCAACCCACGCTTGAAAAAGGAAAGCTAATCTGCAGTTTGCAGCCTTTTCTTAAACCACTGGGAGCCCTTCATTATCCTCTTATTGTGTCCTCTAAAGGCCTGATTAGGCAGTGTGGAGAGCGCAAACAATTCCTGAACAGCTTCTCCTGAACAGGAGCAACGGCTTGCCAGATAGGAGTTGTTTGTCCATAGTGGGCTTTTGTACACACGATCATGTGATGCCATTAACATGTACACATGATGGAAATTTCACTCTGTGTAGCTTAATGGCATCACACTGTGCATGTTCAAGAGTTTTGGGGTTTTGCAGTGACTTTGCATCATTGCAAATGAAACTACATCCAGATGTAGTTTAGTTTGCAACAATGCTTTGCAGCTGTCAGCTCACCCCCTGACCACAAGAGAGGTGGGCAGGCTCTGCAGAAAAAAAGGATCATGCCCCTCACTGCTTCTGCCTTCAGGAGGGCACCTGCTGAAGGAAAAGGTGGCGAGGGACCCCATTTTTTTTTTTGGTGGAGTCTGTCTGCCTCTCCCACGCCTGGGAGGCAAGCAGCCAGTGGGCTGAGTGGTGCCTGAGCTGGAGGTGGGCTCCGGTCCTTCCCTCTGCAGTTGAGAGGCAGCACCCAACCTGATCCAACTCTTCCCTGACCCCAGACTGGCTGGGGTAGCACCTAGCCTGCTGGCAGCCTGCCCGTGTGGCCCCAGGGGGTGCCACCACCACAGAGGGAAAGACTGGGGCCCCCCACAGCTGAGGGGCTGCTCGGCCCACCAGCAGCTTGCCCCCCACCTGTGGGCAGGCTCCGACAAAAACCAAAAAAAAAAACAACAAAAAAGGATCAGGCCCCTGGCTGTAATGTGACGGAAGAATTTAAACAGTGGGCTTCAATTAAAAACCCACCGTTTCAATTTAGGAGGCATACAATGCAACCTTGGGTATTAACTCCTGTCACGTGTACAAGTGCCCAGTGTTCCCAGACTGTCATCTGAGTGGGACTAGATAAGAAGTCTGGCAACCGTTTTGCAGAAGGCAACAAGGGAAGGACAACCAATTAGATAGGGCTTTCTTTATAGACCGTTTTTGATTTGTCTATAAGACCCACAAAAAGGTCTTGGTCCAATAGGACTCATGTCATCCCTGTATGCTACATCTTTTTTAAGCATAACGTAATTAGCTCAGAACACATGGTGCTCTCACTGGCTTTCACTCAAATTTTGGGTGCATAGCATTTCTGAAAGTCATGTTCCTAGTGTGTAAATACAAGCTAAGGTTGTGAATGGAGATGTATGTTGCTGCTGTCAAGATATCTGTCTCATATTCTTGAGAGTGGTATAGGGGGATCCCTTGAAGATCCTCACAAACTTATTTTTGGGTTTGGAGGTGCAGAGCAGAAGCCCATTGAAGAGGCTCAGTTTTTTGTGGCTCAGAGTGTTGCAAAACTCACATATAAGCTCCTGAAAAATGATGGACATGCTTCAATCTAAGGCTTTCGTTAAAGTGGCTAAGGAGAAATCTGATAGCATACTGTACCATGTGCCATTTTACTACATGATTCTGCTTTTGTTAATAACAAATATTTTCTATTATTTGGAGCTAGAAATTGGGTTATCTTCCAATATAGCTGGTTGAGTCATCACCTTTCTTTGATTTAATTAGATCAAGTGTTCTCACATTGCCTTTTGCCACCAGAATTCTTTGTTGTTTTCTTCTGAAATGTACTGTTGTGCTCTTCTGAATACTTTTGAAGGCTGAAGAGTGAGCTCCTTCTCTGTGAATATTATTAAAGGTATTAGGCATAATTCCACTCCCTTTGGTATGTAAAATAGACAGCTTTCTAGCTGTGTACCTGGGCAGTTTTGGCCATGTCTCTGTACTGTGGGTGACAGACTGAGCATTGTTAGGTGGCTACACACTGGCCAGACACTGAGCATAAATTTGGGAGGATGAAAGCCCTCCCATGTTTTAGCTCCAATAGCTGAGCAGTTAGGGGCACTTGCCCAGGAAGCAGGAGACTCAGGGCACTGTTACACATGCTCCAGTGGGTGGGAGAGGCGGTGCTTTAATTAGAGCGGCTCTGAAAGCTACTGTTTTTAAGTGCGGAAATACTGATACATGAGACGCAGGAGGCTGCTTTAGCATGGTAATTACTCAATTAATCGAGTCTGACCTGATGCACTGTAATTAAGTCTGCCTCCATGCTCATGTACAGGCACCCTCAGGTTCTAAGCCCCGTCATCCAAAGGCATTTGAATGCATGGCTGTCTCGCATCCCAGCACAGCGGGTAGCCATTATCCAGAATCCTCTCCAAAACTCCTTCTGAAGCTGAGCGTCTGTCCCTGACATTTTAATAGTTATTGGATGGAAGGGATGGAGGGGAAGTTTCTCCCCCATTGGGAACAAAGGTGCAGATTAGAAATCAGGGCTCACTCCCACCCAGGGCAGCAGCTGTCTCACTGAGCCACATACTCTCTGCTTGTTCTCTTAAGACTTCCTGGTCTCACATAATCTCCCAGGGGGTCAGCTTTCAAGGAAGCACTGGAGAGGCAATTGGATAATACCTAAAATGTAGTGTGATGGTTAGAGCATTGTGCTGGGAAGCTAGAGTGTTGCAGATTCAAACCTCCTCTGGGCAAGGACTACCTAGGGCTAGTGCCCTAGCCACTCGGATATTGGGGCTAAAAACATGGGAGGGTCCTCCTTTGGCATCTGATACCTGTTAGTTGTGGGTTTCTGGCCAACTACATTTTGGTAACTGTGATGTATGCATCCACAATGAGCATGTGTAGATAACCATGTACCTGCCTGGCCAGTGTGTAGCTGCCTGTGCATGTATGTTCCTAGGCATCCACATTTCAGGGGAAATAGAATTTCTACCTGCACGTTTTTTGTCAGAAACTCAGAAAAGCATAGAAATCCGCTCTTTAGATACACAGGGCATGTCCAGATGAACAGAGGATGCAGTATATGGCACCGCAGACACGCCTGTGGTGCCATGTACTGCGCATTCAGTTGTTATCCATACTACAAGGGAGCAGCACAGAGTGTTTTTTATCCAGGGGTCAAAAAAACCCATGAAAAAAAAAAGTGGAGTGGTGCATGTACAGGCAGTGTGCGCCACTCAAAAGTGCAGCTGGGCTGCCTGGAGCCATGCTGCGGCTGCTGGCCAGGCTCTGCGTGGCAGATTCCTCGCTGCTGCAGCCTCAGAAGGCCCCCAGGACCCCAGGTAAGGCTGCTGGGGCCAGCCCAGTGCTAGCCCCAATGTCCCCTACTGCCCCTGGGGTAACTTGCCGTGTGCCAGAGTGGGTGTGGCATGGACGTTCCCTGGGGACAGCTAGCAGTGGCGCAAGGAGCTATGTTCCTGGCCACAGAGGGTAACAGAATTCTGCATATAGTTTCTCCAAACTGCAAAAAGGCAGCCTGACCTAGATTAACACAAATAGGATAATCATTTCACTTTGTTTCTTCAAGAATTTTCTCTTGAGTTCATACCTCCCATTATGTTCTAGAAAATACATGCACCTCAAACTATTTGGTCAATAAGAGGGTAAAATTCTGAGTATTAGTGTTGTCAGAGAGTCTCAGTTGAAATTGCCTTCAACTGTTGAATCATTAGATTGTATCAGTGGTATGAATGATATATGATAAAAATGCCAGTAGAGAGTAAAAGGTATCAGTCAGAAAGTTTTTCTAGTAACACAGTCGTCTGACCCCAGAGCTCTTTCCAGGGCATGGGGTCAGACTTGATGACCTACTGAGGTCTCTTCTGACCCTAACATCTATGAATCTATGAATTTCTCCTTGTCTGTAGGAACTTTCCACTGTCAGCCATCTGTATGCCTAGAGTTTCAAGATTTTAACTTCCTAGTGGGTTCCAAGATTTTTAAGATAAAAAATATTCCAAAGTATATTTATACTGCATGGATATAAGTTTATGTCCACTTTTCAGCTTCCTACTCTTTCCTCTGTGGCTCAAGTGAACTTTTTAAAGGCTTACAAAGATATGGAAAGCATAACACTCTAGATGTATGTTCTCTCCTCTGAGGAAAGTTGGTATATTACTTTACTCATTTTTATGCTACGTGATTTCCACTACCTACCAGACTGCCATTGACACAATAGCATTTTCCCCATGGCAGCCTACTTTGCATTTGTGCATTAGTGATATTTTATACAAAATCACCTTTACCTGTAATTCTTTTCTTTACTTACAAGATTTTTTCTTCTTAGGGGTGATGTCTATAAATTGAAATTTGAAGGGAAGACATTTTATGTGTTTGGAGCTCAGAGAGAGGTTAGATATGCTTTTCATACTAACTTTTTAAATGTGGTTTGGATTTAACCAGAAATATATTCATAATAATTTTAACTTTAATTTAAAAATGACATTTTTAAACTGATGGTGTACAAATGAAGTATTAGACATAAAAAACAAAATAAACATGAGCCTTTTTCTTTTGTCTTTGGGAAGGTATATTTCATTTGGCAGAGATTACATTACAGATGCAAACATCTGTCAGTTTATCTAACACATTCCTTGTGCAGTGTAGGATTGTCCTCTGTGTTTTATTTCCTATTACTTGAGCAGTCAGGTTTTAAGGATCAAAATGATTGAGTTGCACAGCCATAGTCTGTCAGATTCCTGGCCATTACATGTATCAGATTTTCAAGAGGGTTTTAACACAGAGGAGAATCCACTCAGGGCTTTGTTATATTTTACATTGTATGCCGCACAAATGTTAATCAGCTTATGGCTCAGTGGAGCAGTCACATCTTAAGGCCACAAACCATCTCTGACTGTGCTTTACTTTTACAGTTGTGACTTGCCACTAGAGGCTTGGTGAGTAGGGGCAGGACTAGGAACTGCACACAGCCCCAGGCAGAGGTGTTATCCCATAATGTTCCCATAATGTTCTTTGGGATTTTCTGTGGTTCAGAACTCTTTGAGCCCTAAATCTGAGGTTTATTCAGTCTGAGGGCTAAAAGGTAGTTGAAACATCCCTGGCACCCCAGGTGATGCCAGGACCAAACACATGCAGGGGCTGGAGCTCATGTGGCTGAGTGGGGGGAAGGGGGTACTAGCTGTGGAGCAGGGAGCACATAGGAGCCACCGTGGCTGTTGGGTACTCCAGGATTGTGGTGCTGGCTCTGCCCAATGGGAGCAGTGAGTTGGTCCAGGTGGTGATGGAAAGCACTGCAACCACTGTGTACTTGCTGTGCCCAGTGGGAGAACTGAGCCAGTTTGGGCAGTGGCAGGAGGCAGCTCAGCCACTGTGAGCTCCAGGGCTGCAGTGCTTGCTCTGCCTAGCATGCCAGGGGGCCACCACCTAGACTGGCTCAGTGCTCCCACTGCGCAAAGCTAGTACCACAGCCCTGGAGCATCCTGGGACACTGGAAGACTTCACCTTGGGCATAATAGCTATGGGGAGTGGCCACACGTTAATGGAACAGGAGCAAAGCTATGTGGATTAGAGATAATCCTGCTGTCTCTAATACAAATAATGAGTACTTTAAGCCACTTAAAGATGTTAACATGCAGCCAGTCCAGGGGGTTAAGAGTTCCAGAAGCTGCCTAAAATTACTGTGTAACAGGGCCCTTATTTGGGTTGGCTAGTAGGCTGCTAGGTGTCTGTATAGGTCAGGGGTGGGCAAAATGGCAGATGCAGCTGGTGGCTGGACTCCATTTCCCAGCAGACTCTGCCTGCATTGCAGCAACCAGTTTCCCTGGGGACCCCAGTAGCGGCAGCACAGTGATGGCACGAGGACAGGGTTTCAATGGAAACTGGCCCCAGAAGCTCTGGCAGGATGTGTGGCTGGGCAGGATGCTGCTCCATGACTGGGATCTTGCAATGGTGACAGCCTGGTCCAGAGCCAGGGCAGAGCTTCAATCTGCTGTCTGCATGGCCCTGCCTGGGGCATGCAGGCTGCAGATCTGCCCTGGCTCTGGACCACACTGCCACCACCACAAGATCCCAGCCCCAGAGCTACTCCCTACCCAGCTGCATGCTGTGCTAGCACAGCTGGGGCTGGTCTCTATGGAAACCCTGGCCCTGCACTGTCATGGTGCCACTTCACCCCTGGCCCTCTCCATGAAAACCAGCTGTAGAGATATGGACAGGGACTACTGGGAAATGTAGTCTGTTATGGTCCTGATCTGGCCCATGGACTGGACTTTGCCCACCACTGGTATAGGTAGTCTTCTGTATTTAGGAACACTGTCATCAGTTATCTAGCTTTCTCTCCAGCTAGAGAGAGACTGTCCAATTTACTTGGACCATCAGAGTGATGCTTGAGCATTACAGGGCAATGATGTGGGGCAGCTTTGCCTCAGAAGTTACAGGCAAGGAGCTACACCACACCAAGGAAATGTAGACATAAGCCACTTAGAAAATTTTGGTCTTGAATGGTTTTTCCGGCAGAATGGAAAAGTAAAGGTTTTTGTGATATCTTTTATTGGACCAATTTATATGATTGAAAGGCCTACAAAAACAAAAAAACCTTGCTCCTTGCCTATTTCCTAGGCCATCACAGCTAAAACAACACTCCAACTGTAGTCCAGCAGACAGACTCATTATCAGTTCTCTAGAACACCATTTCATAGCCTAATATAATTCAACCTTTTTTTCCTTCTTTTTTTCCTTTGTGCTCAGAAAAAGACGATGTTGTCATTCCATACTTCTACACCAGCAGCCTGCAAGCACCTTTGGAAGTGTGGAGTGGAGAACCAGGCTTTTTATAAGTAAGTATATATTAGTTTATCATAGCAAAAGAAAAGAAATGTGCACTTAGGTAGAAGATGGCTCAGTTTGAAATGTTCTGTTTCCTTAACAGGCTGAAAGACATGAATGCCATTGCTGCATCATTAAATATGGATGAAAAAGCATGTTTGGATAAAAATATCAATTAGTGTATCAAGCTATAATACTCCATTTTAAGTGTGCATTATAAGCTTTTTCATTTGAGAAGGCTTTTCATGGGGTTTTTTTTAGGAAAATGGGGGGGTGGGGGTTAGGAAAAAAATTGCTTTTGTTCTAGTGAAATCCCCTGTTCTTGTGAAGGCTTTAGAGGCAGTTTCCACTGGGAGTCGGGGAACATGGTGGTTGTTCTTGGCTCAGCTGTTTATGACATGAAAACTTGAGCAAGCCACTTGATTCTTTTGCATCTCCAGATCCCCATCTGTAAAAAGAAAAGTATTATGTTCTTCACTTCCATTAAGTGCTTTGAGATCTGTGGAGGCAGAATTCTAAGCAATAAAGTACTGCTTTACCTGGGTACTTTTTCTAGTAAAAAATATTTTCTGTTGTAATCCAAGCAGTAGTAACTGGTGAAGAGAAATTCTACAGCATTAATTAATACAGCTGAAAAAGATAAAAGTGCCCCTGAAGCATTTTGGAAAGTTGTCATACATTCACTTCTGAAAAAATCAGTTTTATCAGAAGGAATAAGGCTCGAAGCAGCCCCCATCCCACACACACTCATAAAGGAGCCCTGCAGATAATTTCTCATTAAAAAGAATTACTTTTTTTTTCTTTGCTTTCACCCTGTTGACTTCATTAGAACTTTCTCCTTAATATATTAACTTTTCCCTTTAGGCACATAGCTTTCATTTGTGCTGTTTAGTGTTTCTTTACAGCATCTTGGATATATAAAAGTACGTGGAATGTAACCAATGCTAGAAGGTGGAGAGACAACTTGCAACTGGGTAGACAGAATTTATTCTAATTAGTTGTTTTACGGTGGAGGTGGTTTCTTCTTTCAGCTTAATGCTGATGCAGGTGTGTTGAGTGACTGACACACAATATAGCATTACAATACAAACTTTGGAGCTCTTAAATATTTTTCCTTCCTTCCTTGAATGCTTTAAACAGTACCTCCCAGTAATTCAGCTTCAATGTAAAGAGTGTTTACAAGGAAAATATACATCCTGTTTTTATCTTTTTATTTTTTTTCTTTATTATTTTATATTACTAGGAGTAATTGGAGGAAATGGGGGGCAAATTTCTCCCAGCTGTAATCAGAGGAGAGAAGTCAAATACATTTGCCTTGAGTATTAAATGCACTCAAAGCATAGCTGTCTGAAGTGGTATAGAATATCATTTCTTTTTAGCAGTTTGTTCTACTAGTTAAATAGTGGCATTATTCACAAGCTGGTTTCCCACCAACATACCCCATGTACTGTTTTCTCTGCTTCAGTTTTCCCATGGATTCCATGCAGCCCTGTGGGTTTATTTCTTCAACACTCAAATATATATTTGCCTAGGCACACTTTTGTGTCTTGACATAATGGAGCTATGTTATTAGGTTAATAAAGAGATGATTGGCAGTGAGATCTCAAATGTAGATGCTGACTAATTAAGAAATAGTAATTTCTGTGAGTCAGAATCGAGGCATCCCTCCGTAACTTTTGTGACCTGAATGGCACCCCATTTCAAAAATGAATTTATTTATTACAGGGTTTGCCTCCTTGCAGAGGGCATAGGCAGCAGGGGTGGGGGAGCAGTTAGGCAGGGGGAACTTGAGCCTGCCCTTAGCTGCTTATTTCCTCACACCTGAAGCCTGCCTTTTATCTGCTTATCTCTTCACACCTCTTTTATCTCCTTATACTTCCTGTGGCACCCTTCAAAAGATCTCAGGGCACCCAAGGGCACCCTGGTTGAGAATCACTGTTGCAAGTCAGCAGTATGCAAAGTTTAAGTAGTCATTTTAACAAAACATCTACACTCAAAGCTTCTTACTGAGTAGTAATGTGCTAAAGAAAAAAAAAGGTATATCTGAATGCCTCTTGAGTAAATGAAGGGTAGTAAGGGATTTTTCTTAATATTTTTTACACCTGATTCAAAGATTCATAGAGACATAAAGTTGATAACAGATCTGAGAGGGCCAGGACAGAGAGTGTAACCAGATCTCAGTCAGGGAGATGACCGGACCATCGAGCAAACCCAAAGGCTCATAGGAAATAGTGAGAGAACAGCTTATAGATACCAACAAAGTTGAGAACCAAGAACTATGATGATAATAGAAGGCCAGCCAAGATCAGATTTGGGACTCTGAGAAACTGACCACCTCTTGACCCCAGAAAATCATATTTTTTAAAATTGCTGGTGTAGTGACCATAAGTTCATGTTGATGTAATGGACAGGAAATGCACTTGGTTGTTTGCCAGCCAAGTGAGAGGATAGCAAGGCCTTTGTGCATCGCTGCTGAAAGCTTAATCAATGGTTAAAATCACTAATTACTGAGAACACTGCATAGAATATAAACCCCTTAGGCACTGACTGCATATCATTATTTAAAATTTATACACTATCCATAAGATGTTTTAATTAAACCCAACAAAGTCTTGCATGCCATTACAGATAGTGAAAAATTTAATCAGTTAAATTTGGGTCATGGTTTTAAATATTTTTCCACAGCTATAATTTTTTAGAAAAATGAAAGCTGAGATTCTTTGCACTTTATGTGATTTCAGAAACTAGGGCCCCATGCATTCTTATATTTTCATTCAGTCCTGTGTTATAACATTCATTTTATAGCTATTATTCATACCTATGTGAAAACAAGTTTTTTAGGGCTTATACAGTCATAGAATAATAGACAATTAGGGTTGGAAGGGACCTCAGAAGGTCATCAAGTCCAACCCCCGCTCAAAGCAGGACCATCCCCAGCTAGACCATTCCAGCCAGCATTTTGTCGAGTCAGGGCTTAAAAACCTCCAAGCATGGAGAGTGAGGGAATTGATATGAAGTCAGTTTGACATTTCAAAACCACAGAATATCAGGAAGATGGTTGTATTAAAATTCTGCTGTCCTTGATCTATGAAAACCATCCTTCAAACTCTGATTAATGTAGCGAAAGGTTGTTGCATGCTGACTCGGTTATTAGACCGGGGAGACTTTGTTGTAGGCTATACATAACTTGACTGTTTAACAGTGCAGGAAATATGGTTGTTTTCTGAGTCAAATATTCATATTCTTTGCTTGTTTCAATAATGCTGTTGAATGGAGATAGCTATAGCTCAGCCCTAAATCTTCCACATTTTGGGTATTGTTAGTAAGAACCCTAGCGGTGGTGTGATGTTGGATTCATGCTGTATGTGTAAGCCCTTGCAGACACAGTAGACATACGCACTGTACTTCTTCATTACCCAGATAATCATTTATTTGTATGCAGTTATTTGGTACTGCCTGAGTTGTTCTGATTGCAGTTTTATGTTATAGTTGTTTTACGTACCAATAAAAAAGTTTGAAAAGTCCACTTCTAGAATACTGTATGGTAGGAGAAAAATAACAGTTTGTCATTGATCCAACTCACTTCTGTATTTTAAGTTATTTGCACTGTAGTAATATGACATTTCTACTCTTTTTTTTTTCTTTCTTGAAGGTGTGCAAAATCCAGTCAGATCAAGACGGTGTCCAGCAGCAAAATATTTTTTAAAGGCAGTAGATTTCGATATTGGTAGGTGCTTTCTAGATCTTGTGTTTCTTTTTATGATTAACCATTCCAGGGAGGAAGAGAATTATTATTGGGAAATTAAACCTGTTGCTTCTAGTATACCTGTTTCAGCCAATCTGTGTTGATAGGATTTTAAGGCCAGTGCTACTTAGGGCCTCTTCAGTGTTTTTTATTTCATTCTGTATCCAAGTTTCCACTTGCATCAGAAAAACGGGCCCTGAACTAATTGTCATCTTTCTTAGCAGTCTCAAGAGGACAAGACTTGGATGGCATAGCAATTTAACTACTCTTTCACCAGATGTGTCTAGAATAGAGCTACCTTGGTTGGAAAGCATAGAGGAAGCTCATGATGGCACTGCTTTTCTTTACTGGTTCTGTAGATAGATGGTCTCCAGGATTTTCATTCAGAAACCTTTTATGAGCACTAAATTAATTTCATTTACATTATAAATAATTGTTTTTTCTTATGTCATTTCTTTTAAAAACATTGCTTTTCTTTCTATTAAAACAATTTGGCTTCAGGTATGTCAAACTCACAGTTCAGATTGAGACACAGTGGCAGCCACAGGGGCTAAGTACAGACAGTCAAAAAGCATGTAACTGAATTGATTCAATCTTCGCAGGTTAGTCTAAGCTGTGTGGACTGAACCAATAAGCAAGTGAAGAGACATTCACTTTTGATTCCAGAAATGCATCTACATGCCTGCAATGGCCCAGGCCAGGAGCCAGGGGGTCCTAGAGCATGCCTTTCTGCTTAGCTGGAGCAGACAGCTTGGGCCAAGGCTAGCTAGCCCGCCCACCCTGCAACACATCCTGGGATGCTGGGGGAGTGTAATTTAACTTGAATATGGAGAGGATCTGAGGCAGAAGTTCAATAAACCATTTTAACCTAAAGCAGTTATGTCTGATGCTATGTTTATCCAAATTTATGTTAAACTGGTTTTGGCCATTTTGAAAGCAGAAGTGCACTGAACTTCTCTTGTGTTACAGAAATTAACTGGTTTCTGATCACTTATTTTGGTTTATATGTCATTTCTGTCCCTAGCCAGGGTGAGCGGCAGTGCTTCCAAATTCCCTCTATGAGCCCCACAGGCCAAACAGCATGTCTCTAGTTTATGGGCTGGATCAGGCTGCCGGCCATAAGTTTGACACCCCTGATTCAGTGGTTCAGCTGGATTTAGATATGGATGAATAACAATTTTAAAACCTTCAAAAGTTGTTTCATTATTTAATTCATGTTTTAATACAGTGGCAAAGTTGCCAAAGAAGTGGTTGAAGCAAGTTCTAAGATCCAAAGGGAACCTCCTGAAGTTCACAGGTATATTTTGAAATGTACATTAAACTCTAAGAACAGAAGAGGATGAATCTGCTTTGCACAGAAAGTATTCCTTTCATTACTGTAGGATATAGAGACTGATTGTTCTGACTGTCACCTTCCCCAGTGAGGGACTTTTAACAAGTCAAAAATGCTAAGTGAGTTTATCACAATTCTGTTAATAGTGCTTTTTATCTCCTAGGCAAGGAAACTGCATCCACGTGGCATGAGGTTTCTTTTAATCATTCGGTCAAATAGTTTCTATTGGCCTTGGTAATGAAGATATTAAATTATCCTTGTCAAAAAAATCACCTGGTCACTGTCTCATGTGTTATTTTTTGAGGAAGATGGAGAGTTATGTTCCAAAAAACCCCACAGCTTTATTGCCTTAAAGCTAGGAACTTTATATTTAAGCAGAAAGGAAGTGTCACTCCTTATTTGGGGAAAAAGTCCTTGTTTTGGGTTTTTTGGTATGACCAAATGATACCATTATACTTTTGAGAATAGGCAGACATCTTTCTGAAAGGTGTCACTGTTCAGCCAGTTGGAGTTATGAGAACTTTATTTAAACAAATGGAAATTGAAAACTTGCAGAGACCCTGTGATTAGTAATTAATCAGAAGAGAGTAAAAAGAGGGCAGGGGGAAAAAAAACTTTAAAAAAGTTTAAAGGATACCTTTGTGTCAGGAGCATGAGTGCTCTTTTTTACTTTTTAGTTTTCTGAATATTTTGTAACTATGTCCCCACATTTATTATAAATTTTATTATGTTCTGATATTCCAGCTCTTACTTGGTGGAATATGGAAAGTACTCCAGGTTAGGCTTTTTAAAACTTCTCCAAGGTAAATATTCAGAAAGAAGTACTGATGTTGCACGCCCTAAGAGTAGTGGTGGGCAAAATACAGCCTATGGGATGGATCTGGCCCACTGAGGGATTTTGCTCAGCTTGCAGAGGGTTCCATGGTCCCACCTTGCCCAGGCACAAGGGACAGTGCAGGGTATAGTGGGTGCAGCTGGTCCCGCTGCCCAGACATAAGGGGCAGCCCAGGGTATGCTGCATGTGGCTGAATCCACTACCCCATAGCGCACAGCAGGGCAGGGGTGGTATAGCGGCCAGATTTCATTTCCCAGTAGCCCCAGGGGTGGCAGCTCCTTCCGGCTGCCGCTGCCGGACCTGGCCCTGCTGCCTGGGCACCCCAGCCTGTCTGCCCTGCATCCACTGCTGGGGGTGGGACCCACACAAACAGGGCATTCAGGTGGGTACCTAGGATGAGGCTGCAGGCTAGAAGGGAGCATTATCTGGGAGTTAGATGGGTGGGCAGGGCCAAGGAGACCCCGGATATTGGAGTGGTGACAGTGCAGGGCTGGGGCCCAGGGCAGAGCCATGCTTTGCTGCCTCCATGTCCCTGCAACATGCACGTGTTCCTCAGGCGGGGGCTTGTGGGGAGCAGATCGTGGCTCTGCAATGGCCCCACGCTGTCAGCACCCCAAGATCCCAGCCTCAGCACCGATGAAGCTCTCTGCCTGCCCATGCGCCCTGCACATGCAACTCCTGGCCAGTCTCAATGGAGACCCTGGGATCGTGGGACTGTGACAGTGCTGGGTCAGGGCTGGGGTAAAGCCCTGGTTCTGTGGGCAAGGATGTGTGCGGAGTACATCCCAGCTCTGCCCTGCCTCTGTGCTGATACTGCCCCATGATCCCAGAGTCTTCATGGAGACTGGCTAGGAGCTGCATCCTGTTCCAGGTCTGGGATCTTGGGCCAGTGACAGCATGGGGCCAGAGCAGAGCCATGATTCCCTGTCTGTGGAACCCATACCCATTTCAGGGGCATGTAGGCAGTGGATCACATCTTTGCCCTGGGCCTTGGCCCTGCACTGTCACTGCCACGACTCCACTCCAAGATCCTGGACTCACCCATCTGTCCCACTTTTGAACACTGCTCCCCACCTCCCACATAGGGAGTTTTGGTGAGTTGTTGGGCAGTGGGTGGAGTGCTGACCCAGCCTTTGACAGCTCAGCAAAACTCCTTATGTGACCTGTAGGCCCAAATAATTGCCCACCCCTGCCTAAGAACATCAGCCAACTTGGGCGTATGTTGTCCCTGCTTGCCCTTGGCCCATTTTACTATTTTGCCTCCATTACCTGGGTGAGTTACCTTCCCAGGGTTAGCATCTACCAAACTTACAGCCTGTCTGCTGGCAGCCAGTTCATTAGCAGCTAGCTTATTTCTTCTTAGCTGCCAGTCCTCCCTGATTCAGCTTATCTTGCTACACTTTTCTCTTAAAGTAACAGGAGACTTCTAGCTCCCTGTTACAGGGGGGCAGAGATGGGGCCAGTGTGGTGCCTTGGGCGGAGAGGGGAGGTATATGGTATTCAGCCAGTGGGGCATATGGTCACTGGCCATGTAGAAAGTGGACAGCCCTGACCTGAATCATATGAATGATTCCTAGAAGAATTTGAATCAATTTGAATCAAGAATTTGAATCTTCAATCCTAGAAGAATTTGAATCTATAGTGCAGAATTCTGTAAGAGGTTCTGCTCTACCCAGAGCTCCTATGCAAATGAATAACTTGTGTTAAAATATACTTGCACAATTAAATACTGAAATGCAGTGTAAAATGAGACATAAGGCTTCAAGAATGAGGAGGCTATCATGGTGCTGAACTACCGAAAGCCCTTTGCAGCACTTCAAATGTGAAAGTTATCCTCTCTTACAGAGAAGAGAGTCATCAAGGGATATTCACTGTACATGGCACGTTCTCTTTGAGGCCCATTACAACTTATGCAAAGTGATCATGAGACAGGGAGCCTTGTATTTCTTGTGACCAAACCAACACTGTTTATCTTTGCTTTTAGAACCAGCATTCCCCAGAGTCGTAGCTCTCACTCCTTGAACAAACAGCTTATAATTAATATGGAACCTCTGCAGCCCCTTCTCCCTTCTCCAAGTGAAGAGGAAGAGATTCCATTTGATGAAGGTAAATTCAACACTGTCACTACATTTCCACAAAATTATAAAGTGAGCCTCATACTGCATCTGTGGTATGTGAGAATATAGAGACATCATTCCACTGAACACCGACCTGCAACCAGCTCTGTGATGGAACGTGCCAGGTGGTTGAAACAGTACAGTAACACTATTCAGAATTTAAAGAAAGAAGCAAAAAAACCCCCAAACCAAATAAACACAACTAAAAAAACCAACACCAAACTAGTTCTTTGTTAATGCAATTCCATTGACATAAATGCACATTTTTTTATTTTTGAAAGTTGGAGCAATATTCTTTATAGAAAGCATAATTCTAGTATTTGCTTACTCACTGTTTTTGATCATGTTCTATACTGATCTTTCAAATAAATAAAGAACATTTCCACTGAAGATCTTTTAGAATTTTTATAAGTGGGGGGTATGAACCTCAATATTATGGCCGTATACCAATGTTGCTACTGAGGAGAGGTAAATCTTTATTATGACATCTTGTTCTGAACCAACTGTGTAGCTGGAAAAACTGATGGACAATCTTTTGCTGATCCTCAGGTGACCTGCCTGCAAAGTATCAGGTGCTAAATGAGAATAAATCTTATTTTACTCTGCACTGTTTATTCAAATTATCTGGGAGCTGGTTTTTATAAGATGACACCCAAGAGCTTGTTCAATAGTTCTCCCAACGATACAGTTGGTCCAATGAAAGATATCACAAAAAACTTTACCTCTGGACCATCATGGCTACAACAACACTCCATCTCTACTATGGCATGACTGATGACATCCTTTCTGTAAGAAAAAATCACTCTTTAAGTTCCACTGAAATATCAGGAGTTAATAGAGTTTTTGCCAGCAGACCATTTTACTTCATTGGATTCTTGATAAAGTCATTTGTGATTTCATCTTATTGGAAACAGGAATACTAGAAATAAGAGTCATTCCTTCAGACTCAGTGGCCCTTTGATATCAGTGGGAACTTTGCCATTGACTTTCATGGGGACAGGAAGGAGAGTCCCCAGATGGCCAGGGAGCCAGTGAACAGGGGCGGCAAGCAGGGCAAGCAGTTTGCAGGCAGTTTGCTAGGCATTCCCCTCCCCGCCTGCCTTGATTAAGAGACCCAGGGAAATAGCTGGAGGACATTGCAAAGCCAGAGCCACTACCACTGCCTCTGCTTGCACCTGTGAGGCTTCTGTCCAGGCAGGACCGCTTACCATCGAGGCTTCCACCCAGGTCCAGGTTTGGCACTGTGGGGACTGTGGCTTTCAGGTTACTTCCAGTGATGGCTAGGTAGAGCATACCTCCTTGCATCAGAGCCAGGGAGAGATGAGCCTGCACTTGTCTCCTTCTGTAAAGGTTGGGAGGGATAGAGCAAGTGCTTATCTGTTCATACCCCACAGCACCTTCAAAAGGACCCTGTGGCACCCCAGAGTACTATGGTACATCTTTTTATTTCCAAAAGAACCAGAAAAATTGCACTTTACTTGTAGGTGGGATTGACTTATTCTGGTAGCCTGCAATATGAGTGGTGCCTTCTGGTGATGTCTTTCAGGGAACAGGCAAGAGAGCTACAGGGCACAGTCCTGTACAGGTCACCCTTCCAAGCTGCACTGCTGCTCCTTCACCAGTAGGTGGCCAGCAAGAGCACTCAGCCTGATAGGCTTGTTCCTGGAATAAACAGCAACAACAGGGAAAAAGTGTTAGCATATTTTTATTCAGCGTACTTCAAAGGGACCTGAAGTGCGATAATTGACATGTATGTCTGTACAATCCTGTGACAAAAGACTTTCTCCTGGGACAAATGCAATGTCTGCTCATATCCTAAGAATCCCATTTTTTCTTTCCAAAAGAGCCAGAAAAATTGTACTTTATTTGTAGGTGGGACTGACTTATTCTTGTAGTCTTTATTTTTGTACTTAAAGTATTTTTGTGTATGCAGTAAATATACCCACTCAGAAATGTTAGTTGTTTTAGGGAGTTCAACCCTTTGGGTCTTTTCTTTTGTTACATGATTTTCTTGTGGGATTTTGTAAGCGTAATACAATCATAGAAAAATTAGGGTTGGAAGGGACCTCAAGTGGTCATCTAGTTCAATGCTCTGCTCAAAGCAAGACCATCTCCAGCTATATCATCCCAGCCAAGGCTTTGTCTATCTGGGTCTTAAAAACCTTCCAAGGATGGAGTTCCAGGTCTTGAACTGCAGTTATCAATTTATATCTGGAGAAAAAGTTGTTTCCTAAAATTGATCCTGAAAACCTGAGACTGAGCTGTATGCTCACATATGACTTACTGAATGGAACAGTACCATAATCTAAGACGAGTTAAGTGACTTCCCTGAGGTCATAAAATGAATCAGTATTAGAGCAAGGAATAGAATCTTCTCCTTACTTAATTTCCAGCAGAGTACAGGATTTCCTCTATTAACCAAGCACATTTTACATGTTCCTGAATTTTAATTTGCCATATGTCTAACACCTGAAGTTGTGACCCAAAATAGTGACCTGCTGGATTCCTGGGTTATCGTTTTTAATGAGCTGCTTGAAAATACCTCTCTACTTCACAAAATTGTCTGAGAGGTTAATTCCCATACTGACTCAGTCTGTGTGAAGTATGAAGCTAAACTGTCTTACAGAAACTGCCAGATGATAAGGAATATTTCATGCGAACTGCTTGAGTGTTGCTAAGTAACAGAGTGATCAGAGTGAACTCAAGCACATGAAATGTTATGTAGGAATTTTGAGCATCTTCAAACCTGTCTCGCTGTCCTTAGGATTGATTCAGAACATAGCAATTACACAATATAGAATTAACACCCCCCCCCCAGTCATTAAGGCACATAAGATCTGCAAAGGTATGACAGTGAAATGAAATTCTTTTTCATACAAACACAAGATGTCTAGTGATGCTCTAGTATTGCTAGCTTTCTCCAAGACCAAAAATGAATTAATTAGTAGGCATTGCACTCATGATAAACTCGGGTCACTGTGGAGGGAAAAGCAGTGAGCTTTGGTGGTAGCATCACAATAGGATGATTCAGTATAACAAAGAACAGCAAAAAAAAAAATCCACTGTTTTATATTTGTTTAGATATTGGGGTGTGTGGGGGGTTATAAACTTTGAGAAATGAGTGTTGTGTTACTTAAGTGAGATTTAAAAATTGATGATGAAAAATTTTGTTTGGAATGACAACCAAACAGATTCTAATATTTCAAACTTCGGTGCTCTATATTGTAGTTGTTGGCTCCTAAATCTGCATACAGTCATTCAAAACAGACATTTAGTTGACAGGCTGCTAGTTTGAGCACCAAGATGTGAAAAAGGTTGCTATAACTTAAACCACATTTTGGAATTATATTCCTGATTTATCAGACCAGTTCTGGAAGAGTTATAAGTCTGAAGATAATATTCATATAGAGTAGTCTCCTAGAATGACTTCAGGGAAGCAGGTTACTAAACTCTGCCTGGGAGTAACAGGAAGTATTTTCCTGTTAAAATAGGTTATAAGAACTTTTAAATTCAATACTTGACTCTAATATCTGGTATTAGCAAGGAAGTTCGTGCTCCCACCCCACGCAAGTGTTTCCCATAATCACAGATCATACGATCCTGTGTTTGTAGAGCAGTTCAAAAGATCATTTTCAGTTAGTGAATTCACTGAATGGGGCGCTGATTCATGAAAACACAGCCCGAGTAGTTGGCTGTTACAGTTCTGCTTACAGAAGAAAGGAAGGAAAAACTTTCCAAAACTACAAATCTTTTTCTTGGTACCATTAAAATATATTAGTAGGTCTCTTAGGTCAGAGGTCAGGTACACCAGTTTTGGAAGAAGAGCTAATTTGAGCTATGTAGTAGCACCACAGTGTGAAGCAACATGAGAGATAGCATTACCCAGATAAGAAACAACCTCTTTCCAAAACTATTATTTTTCAGCGTTATAAAGTAAATCTCTTCCCTTCCCTAAATTGTTAAACTGACAGCCCTTATGTGTTTTTCAGTCTGTTAACAGGTGGCTGTTAATTTTTATATTGCTGAACAACCTGAATTAAGTTGTCAGACTCCTCAGAGACAGAGGGGGATGCAAAGCCCTAGAGAAATATGTGTGGATTTACTTAAGAAATGTGCTGAGAGATGGAGCTAATTATCAGGCTGGTCTCCTTGCTGATATGTTACAAATGAAGGTTAATGTCTTTCCATTTACAGTTAATGGAAACTAGTTTTTCACTAAAGACACCATCCTCTGAGGAGCCCTCATTCTTGAATCTTACACTGCTAGTGCAAGACAGGACAGTATTCCCCTGTAGCAAACTTTTTATGCTCTCTGAAGCATTACATAAACCAGGAGACAATAAAACCCTTTCACTCCCTTCCAGAAATACTGCATCTTCTACGACCTCAGCTCCTAGGACCTTCCAGCAGGCTGCTTCTTAACCATGGGCTGGGAAGGAGCTGTCTGCAGGAGTCAAGACATTTCACCACTTCCACTGACAGCTTATTAGCTGTCTGACTGTAGTCTTCTTCTTTGAATACAACTTCAGCTTTTGATGGTCTGTGCTCTTGGCTTTGTGGCCCTAGAACAGTGGTTCTCAACCTTTGTAGGCTCCTGTTAACTCTCCATTATTCCTGTGAACTGAGTGACACTCCATGTCAGTAACTGATTTATTTATTGCAGCATTCAAGTCCTGGTGCAGGGGTGGATCAAGCACTTAGCTCCTCACAGAACAGCTGGGCAGGGGTGATCTTGAGCTTACTTTCTTCTAGTGGAGCTGAACACAGACAAGCCTGTGCTTAGCTCCTCTACTGGAGCTGAGATTAGGCTGGAATTAAGGAGCAAAATCCTTTCTGGGTCACCCCTTCAGGGGACTCTTTTGAAGAACTGGGAGCAAGGTGGTGCCTGAGTGGGGAGGAGGAGGTGAGCAGAAGCAACCACTTGGCTCTTCACACAGGAGGCAGCAGGGACCAGTAGAGCATACCTCCTTGCAGCGGAGCCAGGGAGAG